TATATATATATGATTTGTGTTAAAAGTAATGAGTTGGGTGAAGCCGTAATACCTATGTTACATCGGACCGTAATGGTCATTGTTGTTTATTGACGATGCTCAAACTAATTTGTGCACATCTCAAATTGTTTTAGCCATAAGTTTCGTTACTTCGACAAAAGAGGTTTCTCTTTTAGCAATAAATAAGTGTAAATAATTTTATGCTATTAGTCTGCACCAATTAAAATAGCATAAGTTGTGTCTCTGATACCACAATGTAAAATCTTAAATCAAAAACACATATGTTATAATCTTTAAATATACGAGTGACACATAATGGAATCTAGAATTATTTCCACCATGATAATTAATTACAAAAAAATCGTAGATAAAAACATACAAAAAATTAAATTTTATAATTATTTTCAAGGCTGTAACGTGGCGGTCGAAAAAAACCTCACGATCAATTAGTCTTATAACCATTCCAATCAAAGTATTATAGTCCATTTAGTCCAGCGGCCAAAAATTGCTTATTTTGATAAGTACTTTTGCTTATAAGTATTTTTTTAATAAGTACTTTTGAAAAATTATAGTTTGTGTTAGGCCAGTTCATTCGAGAAGTACTTTAGTAATTAAATTGTGTTTGGACAATCTTTTCAATAAGTACCTTTGAGTATCAAATTACGAAAAAACCACAGTACACATTCAGCTTATAAGTAATATATTATGTAAAAGAGAAATGAATTTAAATATTTATTGCAAAAAAAAATTAATTATTTTTTCTTTTATTTAATTGGAATATAAAATATAAAGTAAAAATATATATATAAATTTCAATCAATATAATAGTTATCCAAAGCAATAAAATAAGGCATCCAATATTACTTATTATTTATACGATGATTTAAATATATCAAAATATAATCATTAAGTTTAAATTAAAAAATTACTTCATTAATCCTATATAAAAGAAGAGATTTATTTATAGTGGAGAGATTATTTCAAAGAAGAATAGTAGAAGGAGAATAAAAATATGATAGAAATAAAATAATAAAAAGAAAGGGATGGTAGAAACAAAAAAGGAAAAGGATAAAATAAAATTACTAAAGGATAATTTGAAAAATATAAATTTATAGTAAGTATGTTTTTGTCTTAAAATAATTAATTTTCTGGTTCTAATTCTACTTTTTGAAAGAAGCTAGAATTTATAACTTCTTCCCAAAAGCAGAAAAACTGATTGTGCTGCTCTTCTCCATCTTGGCCAAACCCCTTAAATTTCTAAAAAAGTATTTTTTTTTTCTGACAAAAAAAAAAAAACTTTTGACATCCCAAAAGCTTGGCCAAAGAGACTCTTAGTTAACTAAAAGCCTAGACCAATAATTAATCTTAAACCAATTTAAATAAGAAACCTTTACAAATATTGTCATTGAGTAATTATATATATAAATAATAATGCTTCATTTCTACAATTAGGAATATATAGGCCCCACTTTAATATATCCATATGAAATATCTAATAATTAAAATATTACAATATTAAAAAATTACGTCGCGGGGATTGATAATTTTTTATTTTTAAAAAAAAAAGGCAAAATCGGCATTAATGGAATGTAAGAGGAGAAAAAGTCTATTGTTGGGGATTTGATCCTTCGTCAATGGAACTTGGTTAAGTTCTTATTACTCTCTCCGTTTCAATTTATGTGACTATATTTCTTTTTTAGTTTGTGCAAAAAAAATGACGCATATTCATATTTTGAAACAATTTACCTTTATGTAATAATTTATAGCCACACAAAATATATGTGCCTCATTTTATACCACAAGATCAAAAGTCTTCTCATTTTTTTAAACTCTGTGCCCAGTCAAATAGATTCACATAAATTGAAACACAGGAAGTTTTCTTATACAGTCAGACCTCTCTATAATAACTTCCCTTTATAACAATTATTCACTATAAAAGTCAAGCTTTTCTCGGAACCGATTTTTTAAGTTATATTTTACCTCTCTATAACAGCTTTATACATGTAACATCAACAACCGTGTTTATAGCAGAGTGCTCTTTGTAAAATTACCCTCTATAACAACCATATAGAATCGAGGTTGCTAATAATAATTCTAAAAATATGCACACAATCTTTTTCATTGCGCAAAGTTTCTATTTTGCATAAGACATAAGATTTGAAAATTTGCACATGATATCTATTCTATTGGACAAAATGCCAAAAAAATATTTAGATACAAGATTTAACTCTAAAGTTCTTAGATTGTCTTTAAGTGAAAGCTATTGGATACCTTTTTGCTGAAAATTTGGATACGAATCTTCGCCAATTCAAAGATTATATCGCTAATAAGATAATGAAATCTACTAAACGAGCTACAATTACAAAAGTTCTTCTATTAATCTTAAAAGAATTTATTTTTCTAAGTAACTTTAAATGTGCGCCTTAGAGTTTAAATATTTATCATTTAGTTATGAATTTATTAATAATTTATTACCTTTCTTCAATATTTAACTAGTGAAATATGCATATCTTTTAAGATTTTAAATTTGAATAATTTTCTTATTAAAAAAGAAAAAATAATTGATATTTGAATAATTTTTATCTATAACAACCAAAAAATATTTAAACATCAAATATTATTATAGGTGTATAATAACTATTCACTATAAAAATAAAAAAATATCAGAACAAACGATACTGTTATAGAGAAGTTTAGACTCACCGGCGGAGCCAATCATAGGCGAGGGGAGTCAATTGACACCCCTTTCGTCATAAAATTACATATATTATACATTGACTCCGTTGATTTCTTTGTTAGATTGTATAAATACATTTGAAGGTTTCTGTAGCAATCAAAGGTGTGGTTGAGTGGTTCCCTTTTATATTTTTCCTCTGTATCAAGAAAAAAACAACTCATGGGGATTAGGAAATGGGAACAGTACTGGTAAACTTGAGTATTTTCACCATGTTAACAGTGGTGTATGTAGCAGCCGCCAAAATCACAGCTGAAGAGAGTGATTTTTCTCCGTCACCGGCACCGGTACCGGCGGTGGGAATGGACGCTGGAGCTGGGTTTCAACTAACCCAGTCCGGGGCCTTTCTTTTGTTTTGTCTGATCTTATGTTACCTCTATCTCACCGATAGTTTATTTGCCAATCCCGATCCAGACTCATTTGCAGCTTTTGCTGATGATTCAGATCAAAACTTGTTTGCAGATATTATTAATACTTCTCTTCAAGAAGATTGTTTTCCCTCCGAAATGGGCCTGAATAATCAAATACTATTTGGTATTGACGTTCCTTTGACTTCATCTGTCTTACTACATTCAGAGAACAGAGGAGAAATTACTACAGATGAACCACTGCAGGACAAACAAATGCAATCTGTGCATGTCAATGAAATTACAGTACTACACCAGAATTATTCACAGCCGAGAGACAAGAGTAAAGAAAAAGATTATTGCAGAATTAGTCTTGGTGATTTACAACAACAATTTGGAAAGAAACGTAATGATGCTGCAGAAAGTTTAGGAGGTAAGCCAACCGGCCCTATCACTTACAATATTGTTTCGTTATACTGTTGGTCATACCAGTAGGTAGTACTAGCAGTACTAGTACTAGTCTTAGTATTCTCCTATAACTAGTTACTTGTTTGTGTTACTATTACCGGATAACTAGTTACTTGTTTGTGTTACTATTACCGGTAGTTTTCGCACTATTCTTATCCACTAAATCTTTGTTATTACACGTTATGCCATTTGCTTCCGTTGTCTTATTTCCTTGCTGTTGTTATTGTTTGTTTATTGTGTCTTTTTCACTTTTCTTGAGTCGAATATCTATCGCAAATAGCCGTTCTTCCTTCGTAAGGTAGGTTTAAGGTTTGCGTATACATTACTCTCCCCAGATCCCACATGTGGGATTTCACTGGGTTTTTTGTTGTTGTTGTTGTTGTTTCGTTATACTATTGGGCTAAAACGATCCAAAGATAATCTTAGCAACATCAACAACTCAGTATAATCCCACTAGTGGGATTTGGGAAGGGTAGTGTGTACGCAGACCTTACCCCTACCCTGGGGTAGAGAGGCTGTTTCCGATAGACCCTCGGCTCCCTCCTTCCAAGAACTGCCCACCTTGCTCTTGGGGTGACTCGAACTCACAACCTCTTCGTTAGAAGTGGAGGGTGCTCACCACTAGAGCAACCCACTCTTGTCATGGTGTGATATTGTTCGCTTAACATGGTGTGATATTGTTCACTTTGGGCCAAGCTCACATAGTTTTTCCTAAAAGAGCTCATACCATTAAGAGTTATAACTGCTTATAAGTAGCTTATTTTCCTTTCTATACTCTATGAACATAATCCAAATCAAAGAAGATTTCTGAAAGCTAGCACCTCCAGTTTCTAAAACATGAATTGTTTCCTCGGATGATCAAATACTGCTACTTGGTATTGACGTTCCTTTGACTTCACCTGTCTTACTACATTTAGAGAACAGAGGAGAAATTACTACAGAACCGCCAGATGAACCACTGCAGGACAAACAAATGCAAATTGTGCATGTCAATGAAACTACAGTACTACACCAGAATTATTCACGGCCGAGAGGCAAGAGTAAAGAAAAAGATTATTGCAGAATTAGTCTTGGTGATTTACAACAACAATTTGGAAAGAAACGTAATGATGCTGCAGAAAGTTTAGGAGGTAAGAAGCCGGCCCTATCACTTACAATATTGTTTCGTTATACTGTACACACTACCCTCCTCCGATTGTTTTGTTAATCTTTTATTTCTTGCAGTTAGTCCAAGTACATTTAAGCGCTGCTGTAGAGCCAATGGCCTAGCCAAGTGGTCATGTAAATTGAAAGTGCAGCCACATACAACTCCTACCTTAACTCAAAGGGTGGTGGAAAGTATGGCTACATTTCAGAGTGACAACACCATGAGCTTAAAGGTGTCTTACAATGGTGTGAATGTGAGGTTTCCACTCATTCTTTCATCAGGGAAAAATGATTTGGAAGCAGAAGTTGAGACAAGATTTGGAATACAAATTGGAAGTTTTTCTATCATGTACGAAGATGAAGATAAAGATTGGATTCTGATCACTTGCGATTTAGATTTACATCACGGAATGCACATCTTAAAAAATAAGGGCATAACTACAATGAAGATAAACTTAGTAAATCAAATAGAATGTGATAGAATTCCCAACTCGAATGCATAAAGTTCAAATCATGGATCCGCCTCTGCCGTGTTTCCAATATTTAGTATTCACCAGAGTGTTTTTTTTCCACCGGATGATGACAAGTTTTTTTGAGTCAAGTGGTTTACGTACTATGGGGTTGTAATTGTTATACTGGTATTAGATGTCCTAAGATAGTATTACTAAGTATGTATCTCTTGTATTCTTAAGATTGTTCCACATGGTATTAACAACATTAATTCCTAGCAGCAATTAAGATCTCTTTCTATCTTCTGCTTCACTTTTTTCCCCCTGTCCACTCCTTGTTTTTGATGCTATTCTCTGCTGTCTTTGAGATACAAAGAAAAACAATAACTTGTCAATCTTATACACGAGCGGAGCGAGATTCTAGTTACAGCTTCAGTAAAACCTGTAACTTTAGCCAAAATCCACCTAATATATACAAATAATTTATTCAGAAAACGGCCTTTTCTAAAATTCAGAACTCATAAACTCAAATTTCTTGATCCGTCTAATGAGCTGTGATATAATTCTAAACTCGAAGCCATAAAATTCAAATCTTGGACTGCTTTCGCCCATATCCGTTGCCTGAAGCCTGATTTGATTGGCTTCTGAATCAGCAAAATAAGCTCGCAACCGAGATGGAAATAGATCAGTTCTACTTCGCAGCATCAATATCGGCCACTGGTATAGAGATCCCTAGACTTCGCGGCCGGTTTGAGAGGGTGTTTGGATTGGCTTTTAAGCTGGTGAAATAAGTTTTTAAGCTCTTTTTAGCTTTTTCAGTGTTTGTCAAAGTCAAAAAGTACTTAAAATAAGTTAAAAACTGTTTAAAACAAGCTAAAAGCAATAAGCTGGGCAACCTCAACTTATTGCTTTTTGGCTTAAAAGCTATTTCTTTTGAAAAGCCACTTTTTTAAAGTCAATCCAAACGGACTCTCAATCTTATCATACATAGTATCTTTCAAGCTTCAGATATTTTTCGGTACTACAACCTTATATATATAGAGATAAAGGGTGCAAAAAAGGTTCAGAAAATGTCCTAAAAGCTCAAAAAAGGTTCTACATGGATTTAGGTCTACACGTCTTGTCTTATTCTCAATGTCTAACATTTTCTTCTTTTTTTCTATTTCTGCAATAGCTGTCTTTGAAAAGGAAAGGAGACGACCAAGTGGAGGACAAGGACAGGAAGAGCTAATTTTACACGTCAAAACAGACCCGTTCCATATAATGTAAAATTATTCTTGTACAATGACATGACATGCTAAGTGCCACATGATTATAACATTTTTCTTTATTCTTGAGAGGTAGAAAAAAAAGTACTTTTAAGTAAAAATAGAAAAAAAGTAATTTCTTCCTTTTTGAAAAAAATACAATTAAAAGCAGTTTTTAAAAGTTTAGTCAAGCATTAATTCAAGATCAATTCAAAAACAAGAATCAAATGCTTACATTTTACTACAATTTTTTCAACAAACCTATGCACTCTCAGTTTCCTCACCTTGGTTTTGAAGATTCATTAGTCCTTTAGTCAACCAAATTGCTGTTTCTCTAGAAGAAACAGCTTCTTCCCCAAATGGTTTCAGCACACCAGCTAATTCTTCTATCTTTTCATGCTTAAGTAACTCTGCACAAAATTCAAGTAATGACTCTAGTGCTTCTGCCCTTTCATTGCTCATACTAATTCCCACATTGTTCTTCCCTTGTAACAAATTCAGTGTAGCCATTACTGACGTCTCACTCGCTGCACGTTTATGACCATCGTGTTTTTCTGTATCCCGATTAGTACTTAGATGATCAATGGCTTTTGCTGCAACTTCATTATATGGTTTTGGTATTCCTGGTTTCTTCAATGTGCATTTTTTTTGCTCTTCTGGTTGAGATTTTGCGTCTTTCTTGCTCTCAATAGGCCTATGATCGGTTGGTTTATGCTTTTCTTGATCTGTTCCCTCAATTATGTTATAAGTCTCCGCTAAGAATTCTTTCGTATCAGCTTCATGTTGATCAGTCAAAGTACTTCTTGTGGAGCTTCTTGAATTAGTACTTCCACTTTTCTTGACGGATATGCTTTGGAATCTTTCATTCTCCGGATTTTCTACTTTCATGCTCTGAAGGTTAATTTTTTTGATTTTACATGTATTAGGCGATTCGCCTTTGAGTTCATGAACATTTCCATCAACTGCAGCAACCTTGTCTTGTTTTTTGGCTTGTCTAATTTCCTTCAGAAGCCTTTGGTCTTTTCCTAATGTAGGCTTGGAAGTTGACTCATTACTATGTTTTGCTTCTTTGTTAGAAACTACTGATACAAACGCTGGTGGCAAATTCCGGCATTTAGCAAGGTATGGTTGTAAATGTGGATGCCTCAACAACTCTGCAGCCTGAATTTATTCGGCATAAAAAGTATTAAATCAGTTATATATGTATATGCAACGTTATTATGGGATACAACAAAATGCGAGTGTGTTAAACTGACCGTAGGTCTGTGCTCGGGGCTTTTTCTTAGCATGCTTTTGATCAATCGTTTCCTGGAACGAACAAATCAGTACAAGAAGCTGATGAATTAGTCTAAAACTTAACGTATCATGGAAATGAGAAATCTATCGGTGTGTATTGTCTTACAATGTGGAGGAATATATGGTTGGAAGTGGAGAGACAGTGGATCTGTTTATTTTGTTGATCAGTCCAGGCATATCCTAATTGGTTAACTTCAAATTAAATCCTGTTCTTTCAATGAGTAGAAGGGAAATTGCAGAAGATATATAGGTTCTTATGTAACTTACCAGAGCTCGAAATGCAAGCATATGAGCAGCAATTTCAAACATACAACAACCTGGACAAGCAAATCATTATATCATTGCAAGCAATTCAGGGTAAAAAAGAAGTTAAAGTAGTATAATGCTATGTTGCTCAAACACTCCAAAAAATGATGCCGTACTTGTGTCGGATCCTTCAAATATGCATTACTTTTAGAGGATCTGACACGCACCCAACGGTATTTTTGAAGAGTCCGAGCAATATAGGTATAGCGTGATGATTATTTACCTAGAGACCATATGTCTGATTTGTATCCATAGGGTATATCTGCTAGGAGCTCAGGGCACATATATGTTGGAGTTCCCACAATCTATACCAAATTCAAGAATCATAATAAGATTAGTACTACTCAAGATGCTCCAGTTCTCTATTAGCTTTGTTAGATGAAATTTAAGTTTTCTTGCATCCCTCTATTTATCTGGTTCATCTGTTATATTGGTCACTCATCATAAGGGGAGTTCCGGAGCAACAATAATATTGTCTCTGTGTGACATATACGTCACGCGTTCGAACCCTGAAATCAGCCACAGATATCTGCATCAAGATAGGATGCCTACATTACACCGTCTGGGGTGCGGCTCTTTCCTAGCCCATGCAGAATGCTTCATGAATCGGGCTACCATATTTTTTTGAAAATACACTAACCGTAGAAAAGTTGAAATGTGGTACATTTTAAAACGCCAATACATCAACAAGAACTATATGAATCTCACTGAACAAGTCCGGATCGACTATATGAATTCTCACTGATCTTATCACTCCATTTAAGCTTATGTCATATCAATATTATACACAATAAAAACAAAGATAAAATATACTAGAAGCTTTCTATATATTACAGTGGTATATATATAAAGACCAACAGATGATAAAAATTATACTAATTTGGAAACAATGGAACCACCGAAGAAAATAGCATTATTACTAAAGAACGAGAGGTCATGGGTTTGAGCCGTGGAAACAGCCTCTTGCAGAAATGCAAGGTAAGGTTGCGTACAATAAACCCTTATGGTCCGGCCCGTCCCCGGACCCCGCGTATAGCGGGGTTTAGTGCACCGGGTTGCCCTACTAGAGAAAGAGAGGGAGGGTTCATTACCGAAGAGGCAAGGTCATCTTTATTCAGCAATTTGGCTAATCCAAAATCACCTGCAAAACATAAATCTCATAAGAAACAGAAAATTTGCAGAATTCTAACATAAAATAGATACCAAAAAGGACTGTTTAATTCTTTTTACCGAGTCTGATTTCGTCGTCTTTGGTAAGGAAAATGTTAGAGCACTGGAGCAAAGCAAACAAATCAAACTGTTAATTCTAATGTAATGATCAATGACAACATAAACAACAACAACAATAACTGTGTCTCAGTTCCAAAAAAGTTGGGACGAACAATATAGGTACCAAAATTTACAAAAAAAAAGTAATAATAATAAAATTCATACTTTAAGATCTCTGTGAAGAACACGATTGGAGTGAAGGTAATCAAGAGCCAGCAACAACTGAGTCAACCATTTGCAAAGTCTCTGTGGGAAGAACAAAGGTGAGCTTGAGTTAATTTCAAGGGTTAATTTAAGTGTGATTAGTGAATTTTATCTATGGTAATAGTAGTGTCACAATTATTTTGACATATTAAAACAACTAATTTTTACCTACTATAATAGTAAATTCTCATTTTTCAATTACCTCTTCAGGGAAAAAAATTCCTCTGGCTTTTCTAATAATTTCAGCCCTGAAAATAAGTACAATAAGATCTATCAACAAAAGCATATTAAGAAAAAAAAAATATTCTAATTTACAAAGCCATGTTTGGTAGACTTACATGTCTCCACCTTCACAGTAACTTGTCACAATGCAGACAAAAGAGTCCTAATTCATAACCAAAAAAATTTTTAAAAAAAAGTTTACTACAAGAAATTAAATTTACTGCAACATTCAGTCCCTGGAAAGATTCACAATGTTTATTAATTATGTTTTATGTACCTTCTCTACCCATGCATCCTTGTATTCTACAATATAAGGATTATCTAGCTTGGCTATCAAATTCATCTGCAATAATTAAAGTTGAAGGTCAGATAAGAATAATTACTTACTCTATTGGATAATTGTTTATACAAAAAGTGTTGCATGTATGGAATAATTTCCTTTTATAATACCTGGGATAATAATACGGGAATTACACAGTCACGTTATTGGAATACGTTTGATTTATTGACTAAAAATGGGATATACGGAGTATCTATCTATACTTATATTAAAAGCACGAAGGTTCTTAGCGAAATGTCGTTCGCCTTGTTTACCCTCTGTTAATGCACTTTATACTGGATAAAATAGTAAATATAAATAAACTAAATAAAGCCGTAGCATAAAGAAAATAATTAACAAGAAGAGAAGAAGTAAGAAACTCCTTCTTTAATTAGTATCCTTAATGATTAATACTAACAAAGAGTGCAACACCAAATTTTTAGTCTGTTA